TATATATATATATATATATATATATATATATATATATATATATATATATATATATATATATATATATATATATATATATATATATATATATATATATATATATATCCTTTTTAGGATTGACTAATAATTTCTGAAAATAAAACAATATTTTCCACTTGAAAGTGCTTCTTGATTTAAGACTTTTGTAGAAACAAGACAAAAACTCTAAGAATGTTGTGGGATATGTTCCAAAACCTAATTAGATGTCTATGTATAGTAGGCAACATTTTATACTCTCCATGCAAAGATTAGACTGTAAACCCTAAAAGATTAGCAGAACTTAAGTTGCACTGAATGTAGAAAATAAATAAATGCACACAAAAAAGTAAGAAAGAATAAATGGATGCTCATGGATGGCAGTTGAGTGTGTAAATATGCATACCGATGCCAAGGTATTTCAAAAATATTTTTACCCCTAAACAAGGAGAAATAAAATAAATTCAATAGTTCAATATTTAATAAAGTACCATAAATTGTTTATAAAATCTAAAAAAAAATATAACTAAAAATGTGTGCACTTTGCACTTATAAATTATTTTATTTTAACAGAGCAAAATAAAATACAAATTCCCTTATTGTTTTGTTTCAAATTAAAAAAGTAAAAATGCACTCATAAAGCATGTGTTAAATATAAGCATTTTTAGATATGATATATCAATAATTTGTATTTTGGCAAAATAAAATAAAACAAACATAAATAAAATAGAATAGTTCTGTTTGAAATTTAAAAATAAATAAATAAATAAAATATTTGCACTTTGTACTCACAAAGCATGTTAAACATGACTGTTTTTGATTTGTAACGCATCACTAATTGTTATTTAGGCCAAAGTCACTTATATCCTGATATATTGCTATACATTTTACATTCACGATGGAATCTAATAAACGACCTGCTTGTTCATGAATGATGTTCGTTTTGTGTGAAACAGGCAATCAACTCCAATACAAAATGTCTAGCCATATACTGAAACACTGCTCTCTATTGGTTCAACTTTAGGTCAAAATCCCCAAAAATGGCAACAATAAAGCATATGCAATACGTCTATACTCTTTTTTTTTCATTTGTTTGTTATCTTGTACAATGGATGAATAAAAAAACTATTTACAGCATTGGCGTATGTACAGCACATCAATAAACCACTGTTTTTTTGTAATCGTAAAACACCCTCTTTCTGAAATGACCATGTCCAGTGAAGTCCAGTCTTCACTAATGTATTTACAGTAGAAGGATATGAAATGAAAATACACTTGCTGTATATACAGACAAAGCAAAACTTGAGAATATTGTACAGTTCCATGTTTGTTTGTTTTCAATCCCTGGGAGATAAGACAGTTTTTAAAAAAATGGAGAGAGAGAGAGAGAGAGAGAGAGAGAGAGAGAGAGAGAGAGAGAGAGAGAGAGAGAGAGAGAGAGAGAGAGAGATGCATTTAAAAATTCAATCATTGCTAAATTTTCACTTTGTTAAATTGTTTTAAATTCACTATAAGTTCTAGATGGCCAGATATTATGTCAGATACATAATATTATTTAATTCAAAAGGCATTCTTACTTGTAAGGCAATCACTAATGGAGCAAAAGGAGCCATTTGATCTACAATAAATAAATAAATCTATATATAAAATAAAATATGGTGATGATGATGATTATTATTATTTTTATTATTATTATTATAAGAATGTAAAGGCTAAAAACAAAATAAACCATTTTATCTACAATAATAATATAATAATATTATTATTATTATTATTGTTATTGTTATGAGTGTGTAAAGGCTATAACAAAAAGACATATTTTATCTGCAAAAAATAAATAAATAAATAAAAGCATTATTATTAGTATTATTAAGTGTAAAAGTTTAAAAACAAAAACAAAGCCATTTTATCTATTTTTTTAATAAAATAATAATAATAATAATAATGATTATTATTATTACAAGAGCTTGAGGGCTAAAAACATAAGACTTTTGTTATAATATAAATGATAATAAAATAATTTATTTTAATGAAATATAGTAAAAAATATTAATAATAATAAAAGTCTAAAAATGAGATAAATGCAAAGATAAATTAATAGATAATAACAATAACAACAACAACAACAACAATAATAATAATAATAATTATAAATAAAAATGTTTTTAAAAATAATGCAAAGATAAATAAAAACCAACCAGTAAATAAATGAGTAAAGTCTAAAAATGAGATAAATGCAAAGATAATAATAAAAAAAATAATAATGAAATTAGATGCTATAAATAAGATAAATGTAAAGATAAAAATAAAAATATATATATTAAATTCACAAAAAGCAAACTTGTTTGAGGAGCTTAGAGGAATTTTTTGCTCAATGTTTAATAATATCTTTAAAAAAAGATACCAAGTTCAATTGTGACCATGTTTGAATATCAAGACGTTTATTTCACAAAACGTTCTTGTTTGATATTTTCGTGGACACTGAACTACGTTTGCATTTAAAAAAACGATAAAAACAAAAAATAAAAATAGTTTTGTGGTTGTGAATAGTTAAATTCTCCCTTTTACAGAAATACAAAAAAAGCTTGCCTTCAAATTGACATTTTATCACAGTGCTTTTGGGAGAGTATTCTACAAACTTTTGACTGAAAAGTTCACATTTTCGTTCAGATCTCTCGACCTTTAGATGAAGGCTATAGATAAAAGTGTAATTAAACTCTGAAACTTTTCAATTACCAATTCAGAAGATTGCTTACATAAAGGCAAAGCTGTAATACAGTAAGGGATATCAATGCTGTTAACTTTTTTTTTTGTATGTCTCAGCTGCAAATTTGCTCTCACAGTTCACATTATAACAAATACAAAAATGAGGTGACCTACTGAGATAAAATAAACAAAAACTTAAAGTTAAATCAATATAGTCGCTAAATCTTCACAATGTGTGAAAAATCAGTTTAAACTGTTAGACAAACGAAAGAAGTTCTTGACAAAATGGCAGATTTTTAAAACCAAAAGCCACTTTTTTTCTCTCTCTCACAAAGTCACTCTGAAATATTGACCCAGACTAAAGATGTTTACACAACAACAGTGGACTAAAAACTGAAAATTATTAATCGCGTAGTATGCATGTCATTCCAGTAGGTGGCGACTGTCACGTTGTAAAGAAATAATACTAAACTGGATGAGTATTCCAGAAAGCAGGTTATGTTAGTTATCTGGACAAGTTTAGGGATATATGACTGGATATCCTCTAGCCCTGTCATGATATCGAATTTTTGTTGTGTGATATATCAGCACACACTGAAAAAAATTATTCAAAGATCATTCCTTGGATTTACTCAATTTCTTTATGTTAAGAGGTTGTAAACAATTTATTTGGGCTGAATTTAAACAAACAAATTAAGTTGAACATGACTAAACTTAATTAGTTTTTTTAAATTAAACACAAACAAATTGTTTGCAACAGTTCTGCATGCAAGACTTTTTTTCAGTGCAGCAATTGTTGCTATGAGCAATATTATTATATAGAGTATAGATATTATAAATAATGTAGTCTGCATGTCAGGCCAGTAGGTGGCAATTGTCACTTTGTAAAGAAATAATACAGAACTGGGGCGTATTCAAGAAAGCAAGTTAACTTTATGGATGATATATCATCACAGAAATTGTTGCGATGTTATTAGGTATAAATAAAGTATAAATAATGTAGTCTGCATGTCAGGCCAGTAGGTGGCGACTGTTGCTTTGTAAAATAACACTGCAGACCTGGGGAGAGGGGGTCGAGGCTATTCCAGAAGTAGGTTATGTTGCATATCTGGATAAGTTTCGAGATACATAACTAGGCCAGTCGCGATATTTTTGTTGTGCGATTATATTGTCACAGGAATGGTTGCGATTATTATCATTTTGGGATCACTTTGATTATAAAACAGCATAGTAATGCAAATATCAACAAAATCTCTCAAGGGACAAAGACTTTTCATTTGTAAGGTTATTTAGATGAGGTAATTTGATGTTAAAAAAGTAAATGTCCAAATTTATATCTTATTAAATGTCCTAATAGGTGAATGTCTAACTATAAACTTTAACACTGATGAGGTAGAATGTGAATTTCCTTTTAAAATGGCTTTAATGTTATCAATTCACTTTACATTATTTATATTGTTTATTACATTTCTCATTAACTGTATTTAATGAATTCCAGAAATGTTATTTTGCATGATATTGGCATCAAATTCCTATTAGTTTTCTGCTCCAGGACAATTTCACATCTTTGTAAAATGTTTAGTGCGGTGCAATTTTTTTTTTACATTACTTAGGCATCTATAACTTTTTTCATTTTGAGCATTATAAACTCTAGATGATGGATAATAAATCCCAGAGTGTCTTCTTTCCAAAGATACATGAACTGTGAATGTAGACCAAAATATTCAGCAACTGTTACTGTTTTAGTTTGGGAAGGTCATTTTTGAGAAAGTGCCTTTGACGGTGAGGGAAAGAAGGACACCGATATAGTCTCAGAAAACATTTTACAGAAATCTTATTTTGCATGCTATCTTAATCAAATTTAAAATAGAAACTCATGAGACACTTGGCTTTCAAGTCATATGTTTTTCTAGGACATTACATTAATGCTTCCCTATGTTTGTATGGAAAAACAAATATTGAACACCATACAATTTAGTTTTTTTCTCATGACTTCTTAATGTATAGCTTTTTATATTTTTAACATGTAACTTCCTCCTTTACCACAGTAAAGATAAAAGCGTCTTCTTCCCAATGATACAAAATTTGTGTTTTTAGCTGACTGGAGTCAGGAACTGTTACAATTTAAAGTTAGGTAGGTGTAAATAGCCAAAATTGAGTGCTGGTTAACAAGTTTAACGTCTACCCCAACCCTAAACCCAACCGTCACAGTAATGTAAAAACAGATCTGGATCTGGAGTCTTCTCTAATATAGCTGATAACCATATGAATGGATGATAACAGCATTCTGTGCCTACTAGTACTAGGCCCTTACTGGCCCATATCTATCAGCTGATAAAATTGATAATGCCCATTTTATCGAGTGATAACATTCGGAGCAAGTTAATCCAGCGAAAAAAAAGACAAGATTTTTGGTAATCTTCAATTAAAGTTTGATAATGTGCTTCTGTGATTGGAGTGGCTATCCTTCACTAATTATGTCACTTTGACGGCTTCATTCGCAATTTTCCTTACCACAACCTTCTTACTATTCGTTTGCTATCAGGGAATAATGCGCAAAAAAGCCACACCCCCTACTTAATATTCCATTTCAACAGGGAGTCCTTCAACATAGGAAACTTTAACACAGACTTTAAATGGACTTTGTTGATACACATTCCTAATATGCAAACGCATGACATCACCATTTTGACAAAATCAGGATTTATAGCTTACTCATAGACACCAAAAGCTTGTTTTCAGGCCAAAACTCATAAAATATTTTCAGTTTTTAGTTGAAATTGTTGTGTAAACATACCCATAATTACACACAAAGGAAATACACTGGGAGAGAAATGGTGGCTTTTTCTCCGGCTTGCCTTTATGCTCTTTGTTCTGCGATTTTCAAAAAAGTTGCTCCGTATTTCTCTTCCAAGCATGTTTTCGGTGACTTGTACTGTAACTCTAGTCTTATTATTCCACACAGATTGTAACAAACAAGACACCCATGCAAATCTGAGCTCCTTAGAAAACTATTAACAATGACAGTGTTTCGAAATTACAAAAGAAGCAAAAAAAAAAAAAAGTAAAACTGTCACCCTTTAAAATTGTGATACCTCTGTACACAATATTACAACACGCCTCCACTTTTCTTCCTGGCGTTTTCAGACACTCGTGCAGTTGGGGATCTCCCTTGTGCTTTCACAGGTGTGGATCACACCGCCTACATGCCAAAGAGACAGAAAATACACATCAGCCTTCACAATTCAACTTCGACAAGTCAGAATTGACTATTAATTATCTCAACATATGTCTATGGGTAATTATACATGTCATTTAGAAGAGCTTTCTTCGACTTTATCCTGCCCAAATGCGACTATATATTACTTAGCTAGACTGGATATATTCAGTTTTCCACCCATTAAATATTTATCCTGGCCTAGGCCAACAACAGAATGTAAAGCAGGCTTGAATTTGAACCACTAAGTCAGAAATCCAGGCAAAAATAAATCATCCTTCTATTAAACACTCGGAGAAACAGTATAGTGTAATTTATGACTCGGAATGTTGCATGTTTATTCACGGCACTTGTTGTTATCAGACTGACCCCGATTTGACCCCTTTTATGGTTTAATCAGTGCTCTTTTATAATCATTGCTTAACAGCGCCAATTAAATATTAATTTGCAGTTATTAAGCAATTACACGATCACAGGCGCATCCACTTGGGAAATAAGGACACTTGGGCCCACCATGGATATAGTCCTCATTAGCATGCATTATGTGTCAGATTAGGAACTCTGCTGATTCCGAGGGCTGTTTTTTTTTTTTTTTTTTTTTTGGTCTGAAACACTTCTGAAGCTGAATGATTCATATTTTTAGCGTCACAGAAAGCCTCGCCACCACAGCAGTTGTTTTATTAAAGCACGCAGTTCTGTGACTCAAATATTCCTGAGGCGGTAAAAAGACTAAAGCTGGAAAACAATGAACTTTTCCTGTTATTCCTCTTTGTTCTTGAGAACAAATCAGTCTAAGAATACTAGAAGAGTTCAAGTATTTAGAAATCTGCCATAAAATTGGTGTAATTTTTGCTAGGCCCCGCCTTACAAAGTTACAAACCAATCCTACCTTAGCAACTGTTACCATGTGCCATATTAGCCATGTGTTTGTATTTAATTTTAATGTATTATGTTTATACAGTTTTATATTGTATTATGTTTATTTTATTTGCTCGATTATGGGAAAAATCATAATCACAATTATTTTGGTCATATTTGTAATCCAGATTATACAAAACGATTATCAGTTAAACTCAAACAATTATTTTATAAATATTTCCCAAATGATGTTTAACAGAGCAAGGAAGTTTTCGCAGTATTTCCTATAATATTTTTTCTTCTGGAGAATGTCTTATTTATTTTATTTTGGCTAGAATAAAAGCAGTTTTAAATATTTTGTAACCGATTTTAAGGTCAATATTATTAGCCTCCTTAAGCAATATTTTTTTTTTTTTTGATTGTCTGCAAAAAAAAACTATACAATGAATAACTAAATAACTAAGCAATGCCTAATTACTCTAAGCCTTTGAATCACAATTTAATCTGAATATTAGTATCTTGAAACATATCTAGTAAAATATTATTTACTGTCATCATAGCAAAGATAAAAGAAATCCGTTATTAGAAATGTCTCATTAAATCTATTATGTTTAGAAATGGGTTGAAACAAAATCTTCTTTCCGTTAAACAGAAATTGGGGGAATGGGTCGCTAAAAATTCCGACTTCAAATACAGTTATTTTCTTCCCTTTAAATAAGAAAAGGGAAATAAGTACAATAGAATAAAAATATGAAACAAACTGTGCTTTAAGCATCTTAAACTTAATTATAGCTACAAAAGTCCTTCAGTTAAGAGCAGTGAGGGTTTTTCTTCTTTTCTTGTTTAATTAACGATTAAAACAGTCGGTAGCAGGAGTATTGCGCGCTGTAACTTTAAGAGCAGTACGCTTCTGATTATTGATTTCATTTTCACGTGTCTTTTGATTCCCAACTCGTTTGTTTATTACATAAATGAAAGTTAATATGAATAATTACTAAACACCGCATTTCGAAATTTGCATATTTGACCATTAAAGCGCTCACACTAAGATGAATTCAGATGTCATTTTAAACTGTGATTTTAAAACTGAATGGAAGTACCTGTGCATTGAACAAGTTAATCACACACCTGCCAGCCAATGTGAGTCAAGAACCGACCATGGAAAAACATATTTACAGTGCTTACAGAAAATCATCATACGCCTTTAAAATAATTATTTTATTTGACATGAAATCAAATCAAATTACAAATAACTTTTCCAGCCCTGGAAATGTTTCTGTAGCCTTTTCCCAACCTGTGCCTTTTTACAAATCTTTCCTGAAGGTCTTTTGAAAGCATACAGTATGTGTAAATGCTTTCATGTGATGTGAGTAAAGATAAATCAGGTAAAAGTAGATCACAATCATACACAATGTATAAAATAAACATTTAAAACTGTATTTTGGATGTTTTCTTTTAACCAGTCTTAAATAACCCATCACTAAATACCCAAATACCCCTAAATTACAAAACTGACAAGTGCATGAGGAGACGTTTTATTAATTACCTAATTAATATTGTTACTTTTAAAAAGCCTCGACTCACGTTTGGCACGGGCCTCCAGCTCTTTCTCCATCAGCTCCTTCTGGGTGGAGAATTCACTCAGGGTGATTTTTGGTGTGGCGTCATTCTGGCCCACCGTATTGATCATCTCCTGCTCCTTCTCATGATTCACCTCCGCGTAGATGTTGATCCAGGGGATTTTTCTGCAAAACAAGGCTTTCGTTGAGAACAGTCATACATTTTAGGAAAGATATAATTATTACAATGGGGTTATACTGTTGAATTATTAATCCTCCTCTATATTTTTTTTGCCAATTTATCTTTAAAGCAAAGAAGATTTTTTCTACTAACTGATTTATTTTATCTTTGCAATGATGACAGTACATAATATTTTACTATATATTACAAGATAGTAGTATTCAGCTTAAAGTTCAATTTAAAGGCTTAACTAGGATAATTTGGTTAAAGTTAGGGTAATTAGGCTTTATAATGATGGTTTATTCCAGGGGTGTCCAAACTCGGTCCTGGAGGGCCGTTTTCCTGTTGAGTTTATCTCCATTTTGCTTCAATACACCTGCCAGGGAGTTTCTAGTATATCTAGTAGGAGCTTGATTAGCTGTTTTAGGTGTGTTTGATTAGGGTTGGAGCTAAACTCTCCAGGACACCGGACTGAATTTGGACACCCCTGGTGTATTCTGTAGACAATCCAAAAAATTAATAAATAAATAAAAAAATTGCTCAAAGTGCTTAATACTATTGACCTTATTTATTTTTTTTTTGTAAATAAATTGAAACTGCTGGAACTAGAAACTAAGATGTTCTCCAGAAAAAAAATAAATTACAATAAATAAAATAAAATAATATATATATATATATATATATATATATATATATATATATATATATATATATATATATATTTTTTTTTTTTTTATTTTTTTTTTATATATATAAAAAAAAAATATCTATATATCTCTCTATCTATCTATATAAATAAAAAAAAAAAAAGAAACAAAATATGAAAGAAAACCTTAAAATGTGCCCTATATTTATTTATATATACTGAGGGCCACAAACATCACTGTTTTCTTGTTTTTTATGCCGCTTACGTGAATGTAAAACCCAA